CAAAAAACATTAGTGTTGCCATGATGGCTGCCAAGTGGCAAGACTTGAATCTTGAAGTTTTGCCAGTTTGCTGGTTTGGAGCATTCAAATGTGTGTTAACACAATGCCAAGGAGGAAAGACATCAGCAGTGATTTTAGTAAAATGAAGTAATTGCTGCTGCCTATCAAGTTTGGGAAGGGTTATATTGCCTTTTCCAAACAATTAGAAGTCCATTATTCTGCAGTGAGAACGATTATTCGCAATTGGAAAACACTGAAAATAGTTTCCATTCTTTCCAGGACTGAATGCCCCAGGAAATTTACCCTAAAGTCAGACTGTGCATCAGAGAAACTGCAAAAAGGACTCAAGGGTTGCCAAGAGACAGCGTCTTCAGAAGAAAATGGCAGAACAGCATCAGAACAAACCACATGACTTCTGAAATAATGTCCTTAGGCCAGAAAGACCAAAGTGGATATGTCTGGTAATAATGTACAGCACCACGTTTAGTGAAAATTAAACACAGCATACTTGGGCTTGCTGTGTAAACGCAGGGCCTGAGAGTCTTAGAATCACTGAGAGAACTCCTCTGTATACCATCTCTTTGACAGCTAAAGCTTGGCCCAAACAGAAAAACAATCCCAAGCGCAGCAGAAAACGTACTACAGAATGACTGAAAAACAAAAGATTCAAAATATTGCAACGAGCCAGTCAAAGTCCAGACCTCAACCTGATTGAAATGCTGTAGCGGGACCTTAAGAAAGCTGAGCTTGAAGGAATTTCTTCACAATGCTCTGAAAGACTGATAAAGTTATTCAGAAAAGGATTACTTAAAGTTATTGCTGCTAATGGTGGTTTTGCAAGCTGCTGAATCACGAGGTGCACTTACTGCTACACACTTCTGCATTTTTGTTAAATTAATAATAACATTAGAACATTAGAAGTAAAAAGTGCATGTCTTCTTTTTTTTAATACAACTCTGTTATCATGCAGCTTTCCACAGTTTTTCACATTTAACATACTGCTCAAAAACGTAATCTTCACCACTCACACACCACTAAAGCCTACAACTGCTATACAACAAGCTTTCAGTTCCTGCTTAATAACCCTAAAGCTACTCATGGTGTAACAAAATATCACTCCTTCTTTTTTAATTTCACAATCCTTGTATGGCTGACTGTTTTTTTTTATTATTATTATTGTTTTTAAGGGTCGATTTTATGCCCCACATTTCTGCACAGTAAATTCAAGTGTTGCAAGTTTCATTCTTAGTTGCTCAAGTCTCAGTTCAACTTCCTTCATGACTCTTGCGGCTTTTATACGCAGCAAGAAACGTGTTTTCAGTGAAAAAGTCAAAAAAAGTGTTAAAAACCTGCAGTGCCTTACCTGTTTGGCACCAAACGACAGGCAGACAGCTGGCCACAAGCTGGCGAAGCATCTGAAGAGAGATTTTCAGCATTGTTGTGCATGGTTTGGTAAACACAAAAAGCTAAAGGAGAGTAAATATTTGATTAATATCCAAGTAAATGATAAATGCTATGTGTCTGCTGATTGAAAAAGCAATTGTTTGCCATAATAACGCAAAAAGGATATGACAAATGAATTTTTAGCTCAGCTTTTCTAGGCATGGTAGTTTTATTGATGCAAGTCGTTTACACACGTCTCCTGATCCCCGTCTATTCTTCTTTGATGATCTCTCAAGCTTCTCCAGATTTGATGGTCATCTGACATTTAGCTTTGTCTTCATTCATCCCACAGGTTTGAATTGGGATTCATGTCAGGGCCTTATGCAGCCCACTCATGTCATGTGAACTCACGCTCACTTTGGTTTTCTGGAAGTAGTTTTTCACCAGGAGTGACGTATGTTTTGGATCGCTGTCGTGCTGGAAGACAAAGAGATGACTCAGACCCAGTTTTTCAACTGGCTGGTTGAAGTTTTCTTTGAAAGTCTTCACATTTCCTTCTTTCTTCACGATTCTTTCCGTCTTGACGAGATTTCCAGTTCCAGACACGCTGGAGTATCCCCACAGGAATAATAACACAAAATATTTATGAATCAGTATTAATCAGTCAATCAATATTTATTTCTATAGCACATTTAAAAAGGACAGTGTCCATCAAAGTGCTTCACACAAGATTACAGCAAAAGGCAACAGAAACAGTTAGAGTATACATAAACTTTCTCCAGGTTGTCCTTACCATACATCCATCTAGATTGAAGCAGTTTTCCTCAGTCTGCAACCTCGCAGTCCAATCCTGTTCAGTGATCCAGTGATGCTATCAAGTTATCCAGTAGATTCTTGGCAGTGGTTCTGGGGTCTTTGGCCACATCTCTAACCAGTTTATTGTGTGGTATTCTCTGATGATACTCCTCACTGCAGTTGACGCTTGGGAATGCAGCGATAACTTTGTATATCCATCTCCTGCTTTGTGTGCATCAATAATTATTTTTCTTAAGTCTAAACTGACTTCTTTTGTTTTCGGCACGATGCTTTCTCGAGTGACAGCTCAAACCCTCGCTGAAGTTTTATACTGTGTGTAAACTGGTAGATAACCCGCCGTTTTAACTTGTTTTACAAGGCTAGAGCATCACAAAGTTAAAATGTATCATTGCACAGCAGTGGTTGTGCTATGGCTCAATAAAATGGGGCTAATAATATTGAAACTTGCTAGTTTTTATTTTATTTCTGAAATAATTCTGTCATTGTGTGCAAATATAAGTAATTTATACTTTCTATAAAAAAACGTAGTATGCTCGGAATCCCTTTCTCTTTTAAAAAAATTACAAATATATTTATTTTATTACTGGATTTTTCTTTTAACTGATGATCATCATCCCATTAACATTTACATTTACATTTAAATTGGATTCAAATTAGCCATATGGCAACACAGAGGTAATTTAACTCTATATTTCTGGAATTACAGCAGTGCAATCCTTTGAAATGTAGCTGCTTATTAGTGTAATAGTATAAAGTTGATAGATACTCCAGTTCCTCTAAATGTACTTCCGACCTCTTATTTCGCTACTGTCCTCTCAAGCGTGCAGTTTAGGGTGTAAGTACAGGAGCAGGGGAGAGGTTAATGCCGCTGCTGTGTACAGCTGATCTGTGTTTTTCCTCCAAAGTACAAAGGGACCTATGTGCTCCACTTCTAATCCTGGAAATGAAATGAGCAGCAAGTTGGCTAATGGGCATTTTTAGAGAACAAGAGTTATTACAAAGCCCAGTGACTTGAAAGGCTGCAGCTACAGCCACAGTATACTCATTCAGCTAACACGGGGCCGTGTGGCCCGGGCCAATCCCCCTACACTGTGCTCTTTGTTTCATTTTGAGCTAATTCCTTTGGTCGGTGCAATGTTTTTTCCTCTCACATTAGTTGGGAAACTGCTGATTTATCAATTTTTCTTTTTACATCGGGGTGGGAATGAAGCAGCTTGTCCAACACCCAACGTCATGCAACACACAAAAAAACATATCAGGGCTTCAAGGAGAACTGCTTACGTATTTTAATGGACATATTTTAATCCTCGAGAAGTTTCTTACTGTTCAGTGTTTAATTTGTCATTTATATTCTTTCACATTTTGGAAGCTGTTTTGTACCTTTCAATAAGAAATAATCGACTCCTTCCAGATTACATTTTATGCCATGAATGATGAAAAACACAAAGTTGATTAATTTCTATTCTCCTCACAGATGTGGGTGTATGGCGGTGATCGTGTTCAAGCTCTCGGGTCTGCAGGGGGAAAACAAAAAGTCATGTTGACACTGTGGCTTCTGAACAAGGCAGCCCTGAAAGCACAAGATACCACGTGCCCTTTGAAGCATGAGTGACATGCATGAGAGGGTGATTCTGAGTAAAAACACTCTGCAGGATGACAGCGGCGCACCCCTTCATTTCAGTATCTCCAACAAGACAAAGACACCACTGTACCCGAGGAGTAAAGAGGTAGCTGAACATCTTGTTTCACTTTGTTGTTTTGTTCTTTTCTGTCTGTTATTTGTAGAGGTTTCGAGGCCTCTTGCTGAAGTTCCTGTCACTCTTGAAAAACGCGATGCATCTCAAAGGGAGTCAGAGAATAAAGGGACAATTTGCTTTCCACACTTTGATTTTTGTTTTGCACCTGTGTTTCTCCAACGTCTTTTAGAGCGCATAAAATAACAATAGTCTTCAACTCAGTACACGCTGGGGGAACCCGAGGCCATCGTGACTTTGACCAGAAATAATCAGGATTGGAAATGTAAGTGCAGCATGTCAGCATTAAAAACAAAGAATTATTCAGAGCTTTGTGTCAGCAGGGTTTCATGAATGACACGAATGCTCAGGTGCACCTTGTTGTCTCCATTAGCAGCAGGCATGAGTTAGTGTCAACACCACAGCCTGAGTGCACAGAGCTGGCGGTGGAATAACACATTTCTAGGAAACTGCACGGGAAACATACAGTGGATTCCATGCCTGAAATGACATAGAGCCTATTTCCTATTGTGCTGCAGCTTTTAGAGATAAATGGATACAATGATGAGTGTTTGTGGGATGTAGAACATGCACTGTATGCTTGCCAGCTTGAATTAAACCTTTCTTTCTTTCTGTTTTCTGCACTGCAAGAGACACATGTGGTCTAATGGAAAAGGGAGGTTCACCAGTGTCTCACGATGTAAGAAAGACAAAGAGCAGCACAACCGGAGGAAAATAGCAGTAGATGAAGAATGTTGCTTTAATTAAGGCAAACAACACCAGCTATTTTTGAGTTCTTAGAAAGAAGGCAGTTGGACTTGTTTGGGTTTGTGAAGAAGTTTCTTCTGTAGTTCTAAAACCAATCTCAGAGTTCCAGGTATTTAAACCCACAGTGGGAGCCTTGGAGGTGTTCTCTAAGGTCTTCGTCCCATTATTAATCAGTCTTTACATGAGGCGTGGGTCATTACTGTCACTGGGGCCACTGTTTGGTTTCTCCTAAGAAGACTGATGGTTTGAGAGAGGAGTAAATGAGGCAACAACATCCACTGTGAATGACCACAGCTGAAGAGAGGCGGTGGCTTATGACACCAGCTATATAATGCAGTCTGACCTTCCCAGGTGTTGCAGTCCCTACTGACACCTTGGCTGTATCTCAATTCAGGGTCTGCAGCCTTAAAGTACGCACGCAGCCTCAACGATCCTCAAGGGCCGCGTACTCAAAGACCGCTAAGGCCGGAAGTGCGAGGCTTGTGAAATGGGACGGTCTAGCCTCCGTTGCGCTGCCCAGGTTGCCTAGCAACCATGATACTAACCACTGGAAACGTGTCATACAGCTTTGTTTGACAGAAATGAAGGAGAAAATCTTTTGTTCATTTTTTTTTTGTTTCTACATGAGCTTTGATCATTCTCTGTAAGATTAAGGTCAGCTATTGAACGGCGTGTATTTTAAAGTAAAGGCTTTAAAACCAAGTTAGTACAAACGTCACTAATGTCACATAACTTTGCCGACATGTGGCCAACAGTAATGTTTAATCTTCTTCGTTATTAAACATTTGCTCATAAATAAGTGACATAATATTCAGTACTTAAAGTGTACTCTTCGGCCGCCCCTCATCCGCCGTTTTTTTCTGCAAATTTATCCACACCCATCGCCGCGCTATGCATTCTGGGATATGTTGGGCCACGAAGTCTACACTGCCACAGCCTTAAAATTCAGGTAAATGAAGGACGCATTTCAGGGCCACATTTTGAGCAGCCTTTGAATTGGGACAGCCTTCGGCACGCCGCTGTGACTTAATCGGCCTTGAAATGCGGCCTTTAAGGCTGCAGACCCTGAATTGGGATACAGCCCTTGCCTCAGGTGACCTCAATAGCTCTCGTTGACCCCAGCTATGGCATGCCTATTTAACACCTTGTCGTGGCCTGGCTTATGATGACTCAAACGATAAATGTGAGTCAGGACCACCTCCAAGGGCACTACCTCACAGCCTCTTGGATGAGAGCATATATGCCTGTATGAACCTAAAGAATGCTGTGCTTTTATATGAAACATGGAAACGGACTCCAAATGACTCCACAGCTGTTAGAAGTTGAACCCTCTGCCCACCATTTTAATTCAAGCACACTTCTCTCGCGTGAACTCAAAGAAGATTATTGGAAAGAACTCATCACACACTGCCAGTATTTGCAGCATAAATTAGGTTCATGTGACACTTAGTAATCTTCTTTATGGCTAAGAGGAACAAATGCTAATGAAACTGCGAAATAACATGCAGATGCTCTCAAGATAATAACCGCAGCGTGCGCAGGAGAAGAAGCCTTTAAGGTGCCACTGTACATAATTTAAGAGTTTTTTCATCCTTATGACTAATGTGATGACACATTGAACGTTACTGATTCAGACTTGATCACTTTAGCAACCAAACAGTTCTGGTCTGCTGTGCATTAAGACCCCCTAAAACACAGATCGGACCTTGTTTCATGATGTTTCATGATCGTGGTGGGAAATTAGAAATGCATCTGTTTGGTAGATTTCAGCACACTTACATGTTCATTCATAATGAAATGTTTTTCTTTATAACATTAACATTGCTGTTTACCTTAATCCTAACCTGACACTCCTCCAGCCAAAGGGGACAATGTGGCAGATACATGAAAACACCACCCTCTTCTGGAATTTGACTGTAATTGACATATGAAATGTTCCAACCGGTTCTAATCCCTAGAAAACTATGCTTAATGTAACATTAACGTTATGTTTGCCTTTTCACTGTAATGACACAGCATTAAAGTGAATAATGTTTCAAATTTGGTTTTTAAGATTATAAAAGGATTTTGACTCTGTCCTCTTCTCACAACATGTTGTTTCCAAATATTATCAGTGGAGTGAGTGATCGCTGGGCACTTAATGACTTTTTATAGTTATTCTGATGTATGAGCTTATCTGTTAATTAAACTGAGCTCAATATTTTAACTTCTGTCCGTTATTTGTGGATTACCTGTGATTCTGAATATCAGCTGTTAATTAATTCAAATAACTTCAATTAAATGTTATTTCTAAAGTATCAAGGTAAACAGTCACCACGAGGTGTTTTATAGTGTAAGGTAAAGAGCCTACAAAAATGCTGACCCCCCCAACAATCAAATTACCCTCTATGAGCAAGCACTTGGCAACAGTGGGAAGGAAAAACTCCCTTTTCACAAGAAGAAACCTCTGGCAGAACCACACTCAGGGAGGGGCAGCCATCTGCCACAAAGGAGTGGGAGAGACAAAAGAAACACTGGAAGAGAGCCAGAGGTTAATAATAACTAAATCACAGTGTATAAACACAGAGAGTGAAAAGAGGTGAATGAAAAATGAAGAAACACTCAGTGCATCATGGGAAAACCCCATGATTTGGTTCAGAGCAGTGAGCAAGTGCACATAACCATGTGACATTCTGCAAACATATGGATGCACAGTGCATATATATATTCTTACATCTAGGGCATGCATATAGACACTGAGAGAGCAGTGAGACTGCGCTTCCCTGAAGTTTTGTTTAAGTTTCCTTGTATTTAGTTTTGCTTCCTATAGGGCAATTTTCATTGCTCTCATTATTTTTGGTTAATAAATGTCTCTCTCCCTCTTTTTTCTTTTCTTTTCCTTTTTGTTCTTTCATTCTTTCTTTTTTTAAAACACATATTTCTGCCTCAAGACCTACAACTTAATAATCTCTTTAAAACTTACTGCTGCTAAATAACAACTCCCCATATATAGGGTCTTAGTGCTACAACAATCAACAGTTTATCTAAACTGTGGTGTTGAAGAATGCAAACTACAGGGAGATAAAGAAAAATGTAATTAACTATTGTTCCCAGTGGAACGATCTGTTATCATCAAGCTCAATCTGTTATCTGCGTTGTAAATTCTTGACGTTTGTTTGCACTGCATAGTGCGTAGTGCTTCATTCCGAGTAACAACATAACCCCAATATCAGTTAAGCCAAAGTCCATACTCACTTAACCTGCAGATAATTTGTAACATTGTATAGAAATAAAAGATTACAATGAAAACAAGTTTATACTGTTCTTATCTGTCTTTACACCTGACTACTGATATGTAGTACTCATCGGCCACTTCATTAGTTATATTTCATTAGTATTGGGTTGGACACCTTTTCCCTTGAAAAATGCCTGAATTATTCAGATTCAATAATGTTTTATATATAAATATCTCAAATATTGATATCTTTGAGGTACTGAGCACCACACAGATTTGTGGAGGACATCTATCATTTTCCACCACATGCCAAAGTCGATCTATCAGGGAAGGTATTTTTGTCCAGAGTACTGCAGCTCACTGGATATTTTCTCTTTTTCTGACCAATCTCTATGAATTCTAGTGATGTTTGTGTAGGAAAATCCAAGCAGAGCAACAGTTTCTGAAATACTCCGACCAACCTGTCTGGCATCAACAACTGCGCCATGTTCAAAGTCACTTAAATCACCTTTCTTCTTCATTTTGATGCTCAGTTTGAGCTTCGCTAGATTGTCTTGACCAGGTCTACATGCCTAAATGCGCTGAGCTGCTGCCATGTGATTGGCTGATTATATATTTGTCGTAATGAGGAGTTGAACAGTTAGTGGCTCCATAGTGTTGCAGTTTATATATTTGCTTAACACTTAAAATTTCCTAATTTGCTGCCAGGAAGAGGCAATAATCTCAGGAAGAGAGCAGCTGGAAGAAGTTGAACAAGTGTACCTAATGATGAGTCTCATGAGTGTATGTATCATGTTAATTTGCAGGCAGTTCAGGAACACCTAACCTTGCCCGTCACTGAATCAGAACTTTTTTTGTTTGACTTTGTATGACTTCATACTAACATCAAACTCATTTTGGTGCATATAAGTCTTATATTGGAAATTGGTGCAAACAGCACACTGTAACTCACCCTCCCTTTAAGCCAACTTTTTTCTGATTGGCTGTCTGAAGCCTGAACTTTTATTATTATTTGCACATACACTGATTTCATTTTTTGAACTTTGGCCATGTTCAGTAGGAGCATGTGCCACTGGAGTGCATATATGACAGATAATGAAGAAAAGTAGAACAGGTTCACACAGTTCACAACAAGCTTGTTGATCAGTAGGAGAGATAGATTCATGATACTTGAACTGATTTATTTTTGTAGATCAGCCACGATAAAAACAATCGTGTAAACCGGACCTCCTACTGCCATGTCATCAGCATATTTTAATGTCCTAATAATGTTTTTATGTGTCTCATTCTGCATAGAAAACAATCATGATCATAACACACACTTCCAGGGGGCATAACCTCATCAGAAAGATGTTCCCTGATCCTGCTCCTCCATGTTTTACAACACCCAAACACTTCCATTTACCTCCAGTGGAGGTTCATGCTGTCAGAAAAAGATAATTACACTTTTGCATGTTTTCTTGTAAAAATGAATTTACTTCCAAGGATAACGAGTTTTGTCGCTGTTGATTAATTTGCTGATTATTCTTGTGATTACCCTGCTGTACTTTTGACCACCAGCAGCTATGGAGCAGTGTTTTTAAGAGGTGGTTGCTATTTTGTTTGTGACAACCACATTTCTGCAGCTGATTTCTTACCATTCGTGATGGTAGCATGCAAGGATGAGACAGCAATGCCCCAATAACGGGAATAAATAAGATTCATGTCAAGTAAACATGCTTATATGTACAAGGAAGAGTGCATAAGATGCACAGGATGGGAAAAACAATGCTAGAAACATGAACAATAAACATAAATTGGATCTAAAAATTTATGGTCTGGTCAGAAAACAGTCCCAAGTTTCAGTTTTGATGATTTACAGTGTCTCGTTTTGCTCAAACAAAGCAATAAAACCACAACATCAATGATTTAGTAGCCCATTCAGCTCATGATCCATCACAGTACACAGGTTACTGTAATGTGTAAGGCACAGAAAGAAAGTTTTCTTGTCAGAAAACCACAATCAAATCAAGGACAAATTAATCTCCTGCAACACCAAATACAAGTGTTTGAGTTCAGGAGTTTTATGAGTACATGGTCAGTTGTAAACAAAGTCCATAAAAAGCATGAAACACATCAGCATGCCATAGCAGTGACTGTAATGTTAGCGCAATGGTGACGGGAAGGCCCCAAACATACCCTCCTAATGTGGGAACCAGCTAATATGACCACTCCCTCCAGTAACGCAACTAACATGTGCAAGTTGTGCAGCAAAGAGACATTTTAAACCATCACATCACTTGGTAAAATTCTCGTACTGTGCATGATAAATATGGAGACAGGTTGGAATCAACATGAAGAATCTTAATCTAACAAAGGTTTGGCCCTAGATCTTGGCTGGCCCTAACCTAGCTCAGAACAATGTTAAATGTGCCCTTGACCTTTCCATTATTTTACAGAGAAGACCCATTAGGTGATCACTGTGTTTAATGAATTTGAATTAGATTTTGCACCAAAACAGTTCTTTTGCTCTGATAAAATACATATGAAGCAATAATTTTGAATAAAATGCAACAGAAATATATAAAATCAGAGGTTTATTTATCTAAACAATTCATCATTATGGAAAAATGCTTGGTATAAACTGAATGTATACCAATCCAGTAAATGTCATTTGACCAGATTCCATTAAATGTAGTGTTTTGCATTTTGTAACTAAATGACATGGAAAATTCCCATGTAATCAAGCTACTTAAAGTTAACATTTTGGGTGTAAATTGTATTTATTCATGTATTTATTCATTTATTAACTGTAAGCAACACTGTAGAGGGAGTAGTGATTGTTGTGAATTGTGGACAAATTGATGTCTTGTTGTGGTTGAGACTTTTGGTCCTTCAGCTTCGATGCGCTTATAATATAAACAAGAGAAAAGCAGACAACGAATGAGAATGATTGGGTTTAATGCTTTAAAATATACTTATTATGAACAGAGTTCTTATTCATTTTTGTCAGTTCTGTATTTAAAAGGCAAGATTTACATAATCCGAGGTGTCCTTAAATAAATAAATGATCAATACTAATCTTTTAGTAATATTATTCATTATTATTTATTATGTTAATTTGTATTAATATTATTAATATTAACCTTAGATGTGTATGTCTGCTAAGTAACAACATGAATCAGGAACACATACAATTAGCATACAATTGTTTTTGTGTAAGTACATACCTCTGTGCCCAACAGTGTCATAAAATGCAGGAAATACTCAGCTGGCTACTGAGCAGAGATGATCTGACGCAAAGCTGCAGTTTACAGTTTCTCCACAAGATCGCAGCAGAGATCACAGCTTTGTCTTGTCACATAAATTCCAGGTATGCCTTTGTGATCTAAGATGAAAAGGCGAAAATACCAGCCTTATTAAAAGCATTCCTTCCCGAACGACGTCAACACAATGCCCCGCATTCCTCTGGGGATTCGTATTATGAAATAAATCAGGTCAACATGTCATTTAAACAGAGGAGGCTATTTTCCATTGCATCACCGGAGTGGTCAACCGAGCCAACAAGTTCCAGGAAGAGGCATAACACTTTTATCATCAGAGCAGGTGCTTTACTGTTATATTTCAGATATGCCGTTTCACTTCCTCCTGTGGCATTTTTGTAATAAGGAGATCAGAATGACTCCTAAATTACACCTTTTCCCGTTTGAGCTATGTGGAAAAACAAAGCATATAGTTTTTAAATGAAAGATAATGTTGGAAAAGACTATTCTGTCATTTATGTATTTTACAAACCTTAAAATCATTTCTAAAAATCCACTGAAATACTATAAATTACCCTGTTGTCATTTTTATTTTATGAAATGACATCATAGATAATCAAGGAAGTATCTGATAATGCCCTGGTGAGTGTAATATCCAACAAGGACAGCTGTAATGCTTTGGGGAAGTTTGTGAAGTCCTCTGTTTACATTTAGGTGGTTGGGAAACTTTAATGATCCCGGATAAAAGGAAGGATAAAGTTTACACTTGTGGCAGGATGATCTCACACAGACACACAGTGTGCCTTAGTCCGTTTCAAAACACCTCACCTTAAGTTAATATTTACCACAAAAACTTTTGTTGACCATGACTTTAATTTCAATAAATGCACTAAATAGCCTTCTTAGATCAGACAATCATTGTTAAAAGTGAAACTAATGATTGTCTGACACGAAGGTACTAAGGTAAGATAAGCAGGGTCCCAACTGAACAGTTAACATGCACCAATAATTTACAGTCTGAGCTTTTTGCTGAGACTGGTACAGGTGGTTATGACATTCTTGGCTTTAAAATAGTTTGCTAGCAGCTCGCTAGTAATCAGAGCTAGCAACCAGAGCTAGCAACCAGAGCTAGCAACCAGAGCTAGCAACCAGAACAAGCAACCAGAACAAACTATGTATAGTTTATGAAAAGTGTAACACAAAGTTACATGTTTTGAAATGTGGTGGTTGCTGCGTTGAGGCACAACTTTCATTTTGAAGGTGAACATTGTACATTTCGAACCGCGCGGCTCGGAGCTAGTAGCGAGCATTTGAAGACAAGATGTGTCTTCCATACAAACTACCAGTAACAGCTTCGGGCTGCTAGCAACCAAAGAAGTCGTTTTTGGTGGAACACTCTCATTGACACTAGTTTCTTCTAGTAACCAGTCAGGAAAAACCAATTTTTCGCTGGCAACTGTTAGTTGTATCCCTTTCAATATAGTGGACAACTCTCACGTGATGGTCACGTAACATGACATGAGAAATCGCTGTTGTTCAGCCACAGATGCTGTTAATTAGACAATATGCTAATAAAATATAAAAATTCCACCCACCATAATTGAAGCTTATATTAAACAGAGAAATCTATTAAAGTGCTCCAAAAGACACTGACAACCGAACTGGAGTTACCAATCCAGTTCTGGAGTTTGAATCAATGGCGCTGATGACCTGCGGACAATTGCCACATCTGTCAAAGTAGCCATGACCCTAACTTTTAACCTTAGGAAAATCCAAGCTCTGTCCACACCTGTATGGGTATTTTGGTAAACGTAGCTTTTTCTATGCATTTTAGTGTTTTGGCAACATGCAAACGGCTTGTTAGGTCACTGAAAATTGACCTTTTCTAAAACTCTTTCCAGGGTGGAGATTTTCAGAAATTCATTGTCTTTGTATGGAAGTGCATACAGAAAACAAAGATTTTCGTTATGCATTATAAGGCATATGCCTTTATTTTCCTTTTAGACGTCAGACTATGTGAGCTTCTGATTAAGCAATATTTTATATAATCGGGGTTATATCGTCACTTGTTACTTTGACATGTTCTTGACAATGCTTGACATTGACATTGTAGCCACTGGCTACATCTCCCTATGTTGGCACATCCTGCCATTCAACCCTAGCTGTCAATCAGCATTGCTCTAAGCCTTACCGGTATGCAATCCTTTGTACTCATAGACAGAAGAAAACAAGAATGAATCTTACGGGTCATTACAATTAAGTTAGAACTCCCTCAAACCTGCATTCTATCTTAAGGCCAACAGATAACAAAAGCCGTGGCTCCAAAAAGACTTCCACTTTCATAGAAGTCTAAGGGAAAACAGCTTTCAGTTTTAACCTCTGTAAACACTTTGCTGATGGGTTTTTGGGCTCAGACACCCGTTTTAGGTCACACTGAATCAAAAAATTAAGTCTATTTAGTACATCTTGGTCATACTTGAAGGATTACCTGTAAACTAAACACTCATTGTTTAGTTTACTTGTCAGTCACGTCTGTTTTTTGCAAATGGCTATGCAAAAGAAACGCTTACGTCAAGGCTTCAAAATGGAAGTTTAGACAGCAGAGGATGGCATCATGGTAGCTATGTTCATCTTTTGTACCGTCTGTGTTTGCTCCAGACCATAAACATGCCTTTTAATGCTGTAAAAGGGATGTTGTAGCATGGCAGTCTACAGGGATGTACTCTCTTTTGGAGCTAACCTGAGGTGGCCTTTGCAGGAAGTGCACTCGGCACTTCCGCGTTGGCTTCATTTTTTAGCCCCAGAGGTTGTCGCTTGCTACACACAATCAAATTTCCTCTCAAACACACAGTCCCCCAACACACATCTCCAGATATTCATTACTTGACCTTCGACTAGCCTACTTTTCAGGGGCCCTGTTGTCATTCCTGGAGGAGCCCGGCTCTGATGTGTTAAGCAATCGTTTGGCAGCTTCCCAGCAGCTGAGACACTCCAGTTACCCTGTTGATACTTAATCTGACTCCTTTGCTCTCTCACACACACACACACACACACACACACACACACACACATGCAGGCAGGTATGCACATGAACACGCACACACGAACAACGCTTACGCAAGCCCTGGCCAGCCATGCCTAAGGTAGTCATAACACACAGAGGGTGGAGATATGCCAAGCTCTTATAGGTCAAATGATTCACAGGCAAACAAGGATTGGATATGAAAGCATGTAAGTATTTGACTTCAAATAGTGCTGTTGTTCACTGTTTGATGGGATGACCTCGAGTTCCCCTGGTTACTGCTGAAGCTGGAGAAAAAGAGAACGAGAGCAGCACTTATGCTCCCCCTTGTGTGTTCCAGGAAAGAAACACTGACCCACTATTGACATTTGTGTGTTTGAGGAGTTAAATGTTACATTACACAAAGGTCAGAGACGAGTAAACGGCTAGAGGCAGAGATGGAGAAAGCGGGAGAGGCAGTTTTCTTTTCCTCGGTTCTTTTCTCTTGCAAAAATGAAATTGAAAGCTCTGAGGGAAATCGCATTGTTCTCCCTCACGGTGATGAAGAGCGGCGCTGAGAGAATTCTTCCAGGAAAACCTCTGAGGCGTGCGTCAGAGCCGGGCAGGCGTTAGTATGGCTGTGTGTGCGAAAGACAAGTGGCAGTGATAAATAATAACATGCTGTGAGAATATGAAAAATGTGATCTTTATTCAACAACTCCACACATATTTCAAATATACATATTTACATATTTTATACAATGAATATAACTCTTGTGTGTAACCTATCCGGACTAAAAATAGCCTCTAGGTTGTGTCACAAATACATAATTCACAGTGCATTATGAAGATTGTGCACCCGTGTCAGTTTACATGTCACATGAAGGCGTGACTCACTCTACATGTATGAAACAGAAACAACATCGTTAACCTCTTAAATTAATTTCGCTGTGAAGGACAATTGCGATTGTCACGAGTCTCCTTCCATCTGGTCTTCTCGAGCAGATGAAAGAAAGAAAGAACCGCGAGATGCTCTATTAGCCTACTGCGTGACTAAAAAGAAAGAAAAATTAATGCGCAACACTTCTCTGATGTGCCAGATTTAGTACCATTGTCAATAAATTGTACCAGAGCAAAACAGCTGGCTATAATAGCTTGAATGTGGCTGAAACTCTCTATTTGCTTTTCACAAACGAACAGTGTATCTTAGAGCTTGGTACAAAATGTCACCAACTATGAAGACTAGTCTCCATGGATCCGTAGCTTTCAAAACAAGAAAAAAGGAAAGGGGGGAGATTAAAAATAAAAAATAAAAAGTACCACTAAAGAGGTGAAACAGTCTGAACAGATTCTTCCAGCCAAGGTCATCACCATTCTCTGCAGACACGCTCAAGTGTTGAGTCATCAACAGACAACCAACATCAAATATCGCCTGACTGCGACTGATTCAGAGTCATTCAGTTTATGAAACACAGTGATACGGGCACAACACTCAGCACACAGCTCGGCTTTTGTTAAAGCAAAACAGGTTCACATAATGTTCCGACAGAAATGAACAAAACAGGCTCGACTGCTCAGCTGGGAAAGTCTTCATTTTTCTGCAATGCGTCGGTTTCCAATTTAAGTGCATATTTGGCACATTTCATGAACAAATGCAGATTTTTTTTTGATTGCATCGGTGCTTGTTTTCCCTTTTTTTTCTTTGATTGATTGAACCTGATGCCATCGGGTTCAGGAATTATTCAGTAATCTCTGATGCTGCTGATTCATGTGGCCAAGTGTTTAAAACCAGGGTTGCTCCCAGCATTTAGGTAGTTAAACCAGAAGCATTAGTGTTGGGTTTTAGCTGATGGCAATTGCACATATGCAGGATTTCAGACATGCTGGATGGACTGATGCTCATATTTGTGTTCGGATTCAACCTTTAGGCAAGATATTCAGCTTTGAGCTTGTGCCATAAATGTTAAACAGTCTTAACAGTTCTAAATGATAAAATGACCGAGATGTACTTTTCTCTGTTAGCCATTAACAAGGACTTGTGTCAGCATCGTGTGTGTGTGTCGAGCTCTTACCATTTTTCTGCCAGTCTTACACCAGTAACACCCTGCCTGTCTCAACCTTCTGTGCGTGGTGTGAAATTTGTAAATGCGCTCCATTCGCGGAGACAGTGCCAGATTGGCAGTGAGACACCTTTGTAGTGTCCCGCTGAGGATGACACATCAGTCCTCTGCTATCCATCTTTCTCACTTTATGTCACTGTCTGCTTCAAGACGTCAAGCTCGTGCTTGGCAGTCCTCGAGCTGATCGGTGAGTCAGCTGGTGAAGCCTGCAGTCTGGTCAGAGAGTGAGAGGAACAACATCCTGGTCTCCTCGCCTCCCGCTCGAGATTCAGCTAATGCTTTATGAAGTCTCATGAGTTCACGCTGAGAACAAACATCAATGACTTCTCTCCGACTGGTTATTAAATTCCCGTGACACGCTCGGAGAAGCCTGTGGAGATTTTTTTAAAAAAAATACACGATCTGGCTTATTTCTGTCATGGTTAATTCTTCTAGCACCAAATAATTTCCAAATCACACATACAGAAACACAATGAGTGATCATTGTGAACAATGCCCTTAGCGAGTAACATGTATACGACAACAAAATACAGTACAGTAAGATTTTGTAGAAAGCTTGAGGGTGTATGTACACACAACAGTACACAAATGGGTTTCTAAAAAGTGCCAATGTAAAAAAAACCAACAAAACAACAAAAACAAAACAACAATGAATCCCTCATAGTTTGTTTTGGTCCCTCAGTCAGACTCAAATCGAATCCGTCAGCAGAAGAGGTCGTCGTCCTCTTCCGCATCAAAGGATGGCACCGTTTGTTCGGCTGAGCTTACTTCCTGGTCACCCAGCGCCGCTTCCCGGGACGATGGCGGCACGTGGAACCACGGGTGAGCGAGCAGCTCAGTTGCTGTGAGTCTCTCAGAGGGTTCTTTCCTCAGCAGGCTCTGGAGCAGACACTTGGCCTTGGGAGACAAACCTTCAGGCAAACAGCACTGGCCTCTGCGAATTTTGGAAAAAAGTGTGGCCGGGTCCGGGTCGTGGAAGGGGTAGCGGCCGACCAGCATGGTGTACAGCATGACCCCGAGGCTCCACATGTCGGCCATCTTGCCGGAATAAGGCGTGGAACCGCTGAGGATCTCTGGGCTGACGTAGGCAGGGCAGCCGTGGGTGTCTGACATAGAGTCATCCTTGGGGTCCTCCAGGACGCGGCAGTCCTCAAGGCTTTCTAGTCTCACCTGCGTCCTGTAAAGCAAGTAAAACCAACGGTCAAGATATCTGGAATGGACTGAAATAGCACAAAATGTCAATATATGTATGTTTGAGCCAAACCGCTATCCCACAAAAATAACCACAAGAGAGGGCTTTAATTTTACTGTAAAGCAGCATAAGTTCCTTCCTCTAGCTTTAATCTGTGCAACAGACAGATGGACAGACAGTTTCACACACACACACACACACACACACACACACACACACACACACACACACACACACACACA